AACGCTCATCCTGAACATCTTTTTTCCATTGGTGTTTAGATGATTAAGAATCACATTAAGCGTGTCGTGTGTACCTCTGCCAGTGTGTGCGTGTGCAATAAAAGAAAATAAATACACAATAAATTCGCCGACGCGCGCGCCGTACACATAAATTCGATTGAAATTGAATAAAAATGAGCGAAACAGGAAAGCAGTGTGCTGAGGCAAACGTGCGCACAGCTCGGCGCACGATTAGGATGTGCGCCGCTATAATTCATTCGCGGCGCGAGCGTAATATTTTTATGATTGGTGTTTTTATCGTCGCATCACGGCCATTGCTATTATTTATTAATCGGGCGATTATTGAAAAAAAAAGTACAATTGCACGCACGCATCGCGCGTTTTCAGTTTTGAAGATGGCCGCCGAACAATTCTCCGCCTTGCGCTCGCAAACGTGCGGATATTGATTAATAATTTATGGTGCGCAAATGGATTTTCTATTCTCACAGGCACAGCGGTGGATGAGTAATTGATTTTTTCGTCGGTGGGAATAAGTACTCGGTTGGCTATTAGTTAAACGGTTTGCGATTTTAATAAATCATTGATTGGGTTATAGGTTATTGAAAAAACGTTTTATTTTTGTATTCGTGTTAATGTTTTATTGTAAAAAGTAAAAAATATTTTTTTCAATGTCCGAATATTTCTAGTACGTACCGGTTGTGACTTTTTGACGAATGCATTCGATATTCATATTCGCCAAAGATTTATGTGCATAAATTTCGAGGCAATTTTAGAATCCGTTTTTATTTCAATCGGCGTACGGCTGCTGACCTCACAAATAGCAAAAAACAAAATTAATTATTATGATAACTTTCATTCGCATGTCAAAGATGAAGCAAAAAAACTCTAGCGATGGTAAATCGACCGTTAAAATTGTTGAAATTTTTTTCTGCGCTCGATCTTCTCACCCACGTTGATTCGCCGCGGCGGTTTTGCGAAATAACAAATGGTGCGATGAGGTGTCAGCAACACCTACTAATTAATAATCATTAAAAACGTATCGTCCTCGTGCGCGCGCATTACGTGCCGCGTTTCGGTAAACCGCGCGAAGCAATTAATCTAGATTGTTCTTGCATCAGCAAAGCGTATTGCAAACCTGCCTTCACACCTTTAGAAAACGCATCGCCGACTCGCGAGATTCAATATAAACAGACGAGTTCAAAGAGTTAATATCGAATCAGCATGAGAAACACGAGCGCGGCGCGCATATCACGTGCAAAAACACATGTTGCGAAACGCGCTTGAAATCGATTTGGAATAATAAATTTTCGAGACGTCGAAAAATCCGCCGTGAATGCAGCGTAATTTTGATAGACATTATGCTCAATCAGTGTCAGTGCGAATACAATAAATATTTCGAACGGTGTTCGGTTTTTGTTTGTTTCATCGCGGTTACTTTTTGCTACCTGCTTGCGTAGCATACAAATTGAATGGGATGTATTGGATGTAGAAATGAATAAACGATCCATCAGCTCACCTGGCGTTTGTGGTTTTACACCTTGTAGGAAAATCGCGTATCGCATGTATTTGATAACATCTAGTTTTCAACATGCAGACGAAAATACTATTTGTCTAAGAAGTAATAATTTTGTTTAAATATTAGATTTCCATGCATTTTAAATTACGTTTTGCTATTTTATTGCTTATTTTATGTTACAAAGTTTATTTTCTGTATATTTATTCTTTGTTGCTGGTTTTTTCTGAGTTTTACGCTTTGAAAGAGTAAAACTTTCCTGGACATAAATGTGATGCTTATCATAAGCTAATAAATATCAACAATAACGCACCAAATAAGGTTCGATAATTACGTCAATAGCTCTCGAGGCTCGCGCGCGCACACTCGCGGAATTTATTCAATTTCCTATAAAGACGTCTTGCAATTCGACTTCAACTTTGATTTCATCGTCTGTCGTTCGTGCATTTGCCATCAGGCATAAACCATAAAGCACTTCTTTCTCGCGCTGCGTTTGCAATGAGGAATGAAAATATTAAATGTCATTCCACTACATAAAACTATCCGTGCAACATTATCTTTAATGGTCTTTGCTGTTTTAAATTTTTTACGTAAAATTTAGAAAAACTGATACATTACAAGCTTCTGTTTATAAAATAATTCTGCCAGGGAGATATTACATTGTAGTGTAATTATTTTACGATCTTTTGTTTTGGATTTACGGCGCTTTTGAGTTTATTTTCTATATATAGGCAAGAATGTCCGGTTCTAAACGTCGCGGCGGTTTTTGTCAGCCGGTTGGATGTGCTCTGGTTTCTCGGCGGGCTTTTGTCGGTTTGAAGATGAAATTTTTGCGCCCGTTTTAAATGTGGCACGCCTCGCTGCGCTTGTTGATTATACCTTCCCGACGCTGCAGGTGTCTAATGGAAGAAGGAAGAAACGTAAGAAAATGCAAACGCCGCTGACCATGTTGACCATGCCGCCCATGGTCAGCACATATTTAAATAGACTCGGCGCAAGACACACTGGGTTTCCGTCTTCTTGTCTTTTTGCCAAACCAAAGCCAAAGCTTTTCGATTGAGAGCACTGACGGTGAGACGACGACGACGAAAAAAAGCGAACGAGTTGATGTTGTTACACGCAAGAAGGCAAACGGTTTACAATATACAATTAAAGTAATGCGGAGCCGCGAGAAGCAACACGCCACAATGGATACAATAGATGCACGAGAACGCGCGCGCTGTTCGACAATGGCGACGCGCAAAGAGATAATGGAATGATGACTGCTGTGAAGCAAACGATTTACATATTTATCGCAAGCTGCACGAGTACAACTTGTATCTGCTAAAGTATATCTAATCAAACATTTAATTACTTGCTGTGTATCGAGATAAAAAAAATGTGTAGAAGGTTGATTAGTAAGCATATTGAAAAGCTTTTCTAATTATTTCAAGAAAGAATCATTAGGTGTAGTTTTATTTGTTTGCTTGATTATAATTTATATGTTGGTATGTAACACATATTTAATATGCAACCAACTGTGCATCCTATGAAATATTAGGTATGCAAATGTGGTTTTGTATGTTTGTGGCGCTTTCACGCTAAAACCACTCCACTGATTTTAAAGAATTTTGGTATAAAAATACTTTAGACATGTGAAAAACATTTTGGATACTTTTTGTTTTAAAAATTTAACTTTAAGGGTGTGAAATAAGGGTTTAAAGTTAATATGGAGATTCTATCATAATTTTAGTTACATAATTTGAATCTAGAGGGCGCTATGATGCATTTTTTCTATAAATATCAAAAATTATTCTAATATGATTTCCTCTCCAGTATAACTTCTTCAACCTTCCCCATCTTGGCTGACAATAAGTATTGTCGCACCAGTTGGGCAATAACCATTCATTTAGCAACTTGACACTCTTGTGACCACGAAACATCGTGAAACATCGTAATGGCACCCACAATACCGGTCATAATGGTGCGCCGTGCGGTGAAAATAGATAAATGGAAATTGATTCTTGTTCTTGTCTTCGCCGGATGGACAAAAACGCCGATTGGAATTACAACCGAAATGGCACAATATGCGTCCGAACAAATTGGCACATAAATATGAAAATAACCGTTTGCGATTCTTTCCGCTCTGTGTGACCGTATTCGTACGAGTAAATACAACCAGTACCTGTGCCGGTGAATATTGTTGTTATTTTGGCATGTCGCATAGTTTGCGCGACTACGCCCGACCAATTATTTATTTATCTTGTTAAGGTGCACATTGTGCTCGCGTTTACAATGCCGAATAAACTTCAATACACAGACCGCACCGCAGACATAACCTAACAACGCGGATCGTCGCACTCCATCGCGCACACTTTTGATTCTATTCGACTTTCGACATTCGCAAACAATCCGCAACATGGAATAAACATTAAAATATTATGCATGACGCACGGTTTAATTGCAATTCGTACCGCAATCGAATTAATCTCGACGCAAACACGTTTTAATCAAAATATGACAAGACAGCATATATTGTAAGACAACATAACCTCACACCTAACCTAAAATAGTCCGTATTTAATAGTCTGTGTGCCTATCTATTGCACAGCAAAGGTTAGCGCGTATGAATTATGATGATTGTTACGACGTGGGTTCGAGCGTTTGCAAACAATATCCATATTACTATCGTAATTGCGTTATTAATCATCCGCACTGCACTCGTTTTCCATTCGTCGTCGATTTTAATTACGTACATGGCGAATATTCGCGGTGCGCTGTCGTCGGGTGGTGGCCGGTGAACCAAAACCGCGACATGCGTATCACATGCCGACATTAGCATGATAATTAAAATGTGTGCGCAATGGCGCAGACGTAGAAATGTAATAAATTTGCACTTGTCATAAAAACTGCGAACGCTGTGCGCGAATTTAATGTGCGCTCTGATTGCGCAAAACGCGAGAAATAAAGGAACTTATTAACGCTGGCGTTTATATTTGCCAGCGCCACGTTTAATGTGACTATTGACGCCTGTAAACCAATATTTAACAATTCCAAACAAGGTGTTTTTGTCATGTAATGCAATAATAAATTATTTATGTTCGAAATTATCGAATGAAAGTTTTAATGTTGTGAAACACTTTGTATGTTATTAAAATTATTATATTATGTTAAATATTAATAATAAACGCAGTGCGTAGTCATGTATTAATCAATTTCTTAATTGCACGTCGGGCTTTTATTGCGATTGGAATGAAAATTCAATCGGAATCGGATTAATTAATGCGAGAAACTCCAATTTAGAAAATTGTATCGTTCGATCACGAAACGAAAATATCACGAGCTTTAAACGCGGTAATTAATTAGCCACCAACCGATGGCGCACATTCGTATCGAATGCAAATTGCACGTCATAAAACAATTAAGCTAATTGCGTGCTAGGAATGACGGAATTGCTTGACTTGAATTTAGCATGTTTGCATAATTAATTTGTTTTCTTTTGTTATAGGTCACACAACGCAACGCAACACAAAGTGAGTAGTTATTATGTTGTTGTTGAAATTATTCTCAACTATTTGGAAAAGTTCACTTGAAGTTAATTTAAGTCGAAATGAAAATGCCACCGCTTCGTATCACATTCAATTCGAGAATCTGCATTAATTAGTAGTTAGACGAGCAGTTAGCGCAGCACTTTGCGAAATTGATTCGGATGGTTTTGATTTAGCATAAATATTACGCTTTCGACATGTTTATTTATTTTTATTTTCGCGTATTTAGTCGGCAACGTCCTTTGCATAATTCGCGTGCATGAAGATGTGCAAGATTGGTTTGCTTGGTGCTTGCACGTCTTTTCATTTTCTTTCATCATCAATTTCTTGGTCTCTCGGCGTGTTTGGTATTCGATGAAATCGCTCCCTCGCTCCCGCAATACACGAATGCGCGCCGCGCTCATCAGTTCATCAGCTCATCACGAAATTGCGCAATGATATTTTTGCATCGAAAGGTCGCTCGCACGGCGCCTGCAACCGACTCTCAAGACTAAAGTTCAAGGCAATTCATTCTGCACAAATACACACACATATATTGTTTCTCTTAATAATATCGCACACCTAATATTAAAAATATTAAAAATGTGCATGACTTCATAGTTTTGGGATTTTCGCGTAAAAAACACGCCGTGATTTATTGGTGGATATTATGCGCGCACTTGGCGGAATTTAGAAAAGTGTAAGAGTGGCTCGAGATCGAATGAATTATGCGCGCCGCCGCCGCCGAGTGCAAAAGTAAGCAATTTGTTTTGCGCAACGCCTAAAAACTAGCGATAAATCATTGCGACACACGAACGTCCAGCGCGTTCGCCGGGGTCTTTAATTTACGACCGCGGCCCGCCCGAACCAACCGTCAAATTACAATAAAAAGAAAGATTCGCGCTTATAAACACGCGCATGATTCATTTTACAACTTTTACAAGCATCATCTAATGGGATTAGATATTAAATCGTCTATTTTGAATTTTTGCAGTTTTGACTTTGTTCGTTTATGTAAATATAACGGTTGCTCACGAATGCACCTCACGAAACCGGTAATATTTTGGCGCCTGCAAGCGATCCAATAATAATGATTAATTAAGCGTAACTGCGACCTCATCAAACATCAGTCAACAGCAAAAAAATATCCACAATTGATTATTTCAATTAATCAATCGTCCTATAAAGTTTTTTATGCAAATTTTGAGGTTATGTTTACTTCCGGCATGTAAAATTGCCTACGTTGTTTGTGTTTGCGTTGCGCTCCGTTTTTGGTATAATATAATTGCATTTCGTTATGTTTTTTTTCGCCTCGCGGAATTGATTTGTTCCTGACAAGTAAACCAGTGTATACGGGAAGGCATACAACAATGGATCATGCCGAATCGATTTATCATCCAGTTCGCGCCTGTTACCTGTCACCTGTTGCTGAAAGTAAAGCACGCCGAAGTGTCAAAAATGGCGCACACACCGTTTCTATTATCGCGCTGCGCACGCGTTGCATGTGCAGATTTGATTTATGCGCGGTATTACCCCAGAGGGCAGCCTTGCCTACGTTTCTAGGTTAGAATATTTTATTATTCCACATACAAAATGGCCGGATGCATACGAAATTTGATTTTAAACATTTAATTCGTTTTTTGCACGATTTACGTTTTGTCTGCGCTGGGAAATGTCGAGATGATTATCTGTAAATGTTTATAAGGAGTTTTTGCTTGTTTGCTTTGATCCGAGCGTGTAATTATCAATAAAATTTAATGAAACGCAATGTTTGCGCGCGCTGAAATGTTTCGCTAGTGATATCAAATTGCGGGAAGAAACTGGCCAGCGACGCGCCACAGCGTTACAAACACTTTTTTGTTTGCTTGTTTCTCGACTTCGACGCGATGCGATGTGAATAGAAGAAAAAGACCGAACGCGTTTATGAAAGTTTTAAGTGGACGTTTAAGCTTTATTTCTACCTTTGCACTACATGCTCGTTTGCTTGACTGCACATAATGACACTTTGTTTATCGGTAAATCTCCGCGTACGGCTAACAAGTCAAATCAAACGTTATCTGCAGCGCGCGGCGCGCAAAAAATTAATTTGCACATTATTAAGTTTTTAACAACGTCTCATACAATTAACTATAATCGCATATAAACACATAAATAACGAATACTGATCTTTAACGACCGATAGAAATGAAACGCAAGCAAAAAACCTAACCTGAAAGGTTGTGTCGCGTTGATTAAACGCGTGTAATGCGCTGAAGAAGTGTAAAAAAGTGAAGAAGCGTGGAGGAGAGTGGAAGAAAGGTCAGGCAAAGAAGTTCGTTTACATAATGCATTTCGTCTTGGAGATGCTGACAAAACGGACAAATGAGATGTAAACGAGAAGGAGTCGTAATATGACTTCGAATGCGTTTAATGCACGAGTGTGATCAAATGTTAACTAGTGTAGTAATTTATTACTGCCTAAAGTAAATAGACATGTTCGTTCTTTTTTTCGTTGGAGTTTTACAGGCGTGAGTGAAAAATGAGACGGTATGTTAATTTTATTCCGGCGAGCACAAACGCAGAGTAATTTTTATTATAGAGATTATGTAATGTGTATTTTTATTTACTTGTAGCAAAAAAGAGAACCTGTAGTGTGTTTGGAAAAGGTGAAATAAGAAATGTGTTGTATGGTGAAGTTTTATAACTTATTTAAGTTTATGTTAAATGGTGATTATTGTTAGTCGTATTCTTTGTTCGCGTCTTGCAACATTTCTTATTTTATTTTGCATAAGAATAATTAATCATTTGTGCGTGAATTAAGCTGTGTATAGGTATCTAATTGATTTCTTTCTGTGTTTTTATTTGGTATGTACGTTTTTTTTACATTTTTGCATAGTTTTTAGTAAAAATTTTATTAATTTTGCAATTAGATTTTAAAGAAATGAAAATTGCTAATAATGCACCTTAGCGCCATCTCCGATTCAAATAATTAACTATAACTATGATTGAATTTCAATAATAACTTTCATCCCTTATTTAGCACCCTTTAAATAATAATTTTTGATATTTTTATACTTATTCTCCTATTCGGGACATAAAAGAATCTAAAAATGCATAGATTATCAAAATCTGTCCAGCCGTTCGTGACTTATAAATGTTGCAACTAACGCAACTTAGTTTTTTACACATTCTCACTCCAAATTTAGTCAATTTTCATCAATATTTTATGTTTGGCGAATGTGTACATAACAGTACACTTAAAATAGTTCGCATTTCCTATTTCGCTGGGCGTACGCCCGTGTTTCGTTCATGAAAGTGGCAATTTACGTCCGCACGCAGCGCATTTCTTCCAGCCACCCGATTCACCTGCACTCACAGTTTATCTATTAGCGCATGACGCATAAAATGTGACCACTCCACACGCTAAAACAAAGAAAGGTCGCTTTTGTGGCGGCTGCGCACGTGTGTTTCATGTGTTTTTCGTAGCTTTGCATTCTTCAAGCTTACACTTTATGCGCTTTATGCACTCGCGCGCCGATTTGAAACCAAAGCGTGCAATATTCATGCTCGAGTGGCTTCTCGACGGGACGATGGTTTATTCGCGGCAGATATCATTACGTGTTTTACACACATTGTTGTGTGCGGCGGTGTATGCACGTCGAAACCTGTGCGCGCATTGCGCTCGCCGGCGTTTAATTAGCTGCGAACCTGCATGTGTCCGCTTAATGACGACGGAAATGAATTAATGCACGCTACCCGTTGGATAATTAAATCATATACGCACATATATGCGCGCCGAGCGCTAATAGACTGTCTGCTCGCATTTAGCAAGAGTTTACCAGACGAGAAACTCAATTGTGGGTAATTATTAAGTGCAGAAATGTAATCTGGTGTTTTTCCACCACAATGAGCAAGAAGTCGAGGTATTGAAAGTGCAATGCGAGTCGTGATCGTGATCAACAATGAAACGCGCAAAAATTACATCAGAAATGTATCATAAATTGAAGAAAGAAAAAAAAACGTAAATGCATGTCACTTTGTATAACGGAAGCAGATTGGTATTGATAAGTTACTCCTGCACCTGTTTTTGTACAGGCATCTGTGGAATTTGGTGTTTAATTAAGTTAATTAATTAATTAAACGCTCGATGTACTCGGTTTCGTCCCGTTGTCGAATCAGATTGCAATCTGGCAATGGGGAGATGTGGACCGCGCCTTTATAATCTTGAAGTTTGCTAATTAAACAAACAATAACAGAATACGGACAATTATATTTTTATTTTTAGGTTTTCATTTGATTATTTATCGAAGGTAATCACTTTACTGACGTCTTTTTTTTATTTAGATTTTGATTTATTGATTAATTTTTGTCGTGAATGGTCAAAAAAGCTATACAAATAAGTGTACCAAGTTTCGCCCAAAATTTAACACCTTTTAGGTAATAATTTTTGATATTTTAATAGTTATTCTGCTATTCCAGACCCAGACGAATCCAATAAATCATAGGTGATCAAAATCTATGAAGCCGTTCTTGAGTTATAGATGCTGTAACTAACAAAACTATGTTTTTTTTTAGATTTATTAGAAAAATACTCGTAATGTTTTGGTTATAATACTATATTTTACACCCGATTGCAAAATATAAGTAATTTATTTTAATTATAATTTCACATTATTGATTTAAAATTAAAACTTTCTCCGATTTCGATCGCGCGCAGATCGGCACCGCAACAATTTTTCAATTATCGATTAGATTCAAACGAGGCATCACCGCCATATTGTCTGTCATTCAGTCGTCTGCTGGCGTGCCATCAGATACAACCGAGCGCGCGCGTATCTCGTGCACTTATCTCTGGCGATCGCCGGAACAACCGTTGTGGTAGTTGTTGTCGTTGTTGTCGACGGCGCAAAGAAACGCCACAATGAAATCGATAAATTAAAAAACCGTTTCGCGCGCACGCATGAGCGGAGCTGATGTCGCGCGACATATTGTATTGAGTATAATATCAATGTAGTAGATATCCATGT